ATCAAGTTTCGTGACCTTTTCCAACAAAAAATGGGTTTGTTTTGTAGGCACCGTTTGTCAGTCGTTGATTAACTGGTCATTTGTCGAGAGGCTATTTTGGCAGCTGGGAAACGTTCTAGTGGTTAGTCGTTGTGGATATGTGGCCGTTGTAGAGAGGTCTAAATAAGCGCGAGTGTATGGATCGTCCGCTGTCCGTTAGTGAAGGTTCGAATTTAAGCTAAATCTTTGTAAAAATGACCGTGGCGTTGTGCGGTCCCGAGCGCGCAAGCTTAGTTGATAAGCGATACGACTGAAAATGTTTCGAAAACAAAATTAAAAGATCGCGGACTGGAAAGCTTCTTTAATTTTACAGCGCGCAATTCTGAGATACGACTGAGATTCGGCGTTTGACGTTCTCAAAAGAAAAGAAGGACAAGATAATTAGAATAAAGAGGAGAGTAATTTGTTACGAATAAGTTATTTCTTTTAAAAAGCTTAGTAAGCTTCAAAACGACCAGAAAATCGTCAATAGTGGCGGCAAGGGACAATGCGGGACATACTAGGCCGACGATGGAGCAATCTGATTGGTTTTAGTTGTTTGCTCTCTCAAGCCGTGTAATAGGAAGCCACTCTTGAAGATTTTCTGGTAATTTTACATGTAGGAGAATTAATTTTCTGACGGCTCCTTTCCTTCTTCTCTCCTTTTGTTTTTTGTCTTTGTTTTTCATTTGAAAACATGAGACATGAGTAAACGTATAGCTGGCTCTTATTCTGAAGTCAAAAGTTTACGGTGTCTTTTCGGTCCATGATCATGACCGTGGCATTTTTCAAAACATCTTCAGTCGTGTAACAGATCCCTCATTAATCAAGCTTGCCCTAGACCTTACTTTTAAGATAATCTCCCAGTACGGCCCTTACGCCAAGTCTTGGAAGAAAATTAATTGTCACTAAAGGTTTGTTATACATGTAGGTCATATGGCATAACAATATACATAAAAATACCTTTTTATTGCTTTATAAAGTGCGCAAGGAAAGAAAAGGCAGGAAAGGTAGCCCCATCTTGCGCGCTTGGGTAGCCAATTACAACGCAGCATTTGATCATCTTGGCCGCTCCGAAATAAAGCAAAAATTATAAATTCTTCGCAGCTTATTGATTGTATGATAGTTTGCTTCTGCCATTACAGGTACGAGACCGGATATAAAGCACTTGGTAGATGTCTTGTTGCCGTTAAAGGAGTATTCGAACAAAATACTGTAATGCAGAGAAACTCGAAGAAAGTATTGTTTATTGTTACCACCGGTAAATCATGGAGTGGAATTCATCCAAGGTTTCCCACTAAGTGGTTGAAAAAACATGGCGTTGAGATATTTGGCCTAACGATAGGTCACAGAAAAGACGGCTTCGAGCAACTTCGAGAAATTTCCAGTAGTCCTATGGACGAACACGTGTTTTGGGTGAAGG